CACGTTGGATGATGCTGGCTACGCTTGTGCCCGGGACCCAGCGCTGTTCAGCCCCACCAGGGTGGTCGCTGCTCTGGGCTGGCACAGGGATCACCTCTGGCTGGGGGGATCAGCTGGTGGAAATCAAGGACCAAGGACCTGTAAACTGGATCTCCTAGGGATGTTTATTTTGAGAAGAAAAAATAATCCAAACTGAAAGTGCTTTATAAGAAGCTGTTCACTCTTACTCTAATTGTTTTGAGGATGTCAGTGTTGCCATGGGACCAATTGTTTTCACATGTTTTTTTAAAATTGTGAAGGCCACGCATTCAGGACCTTTTGACAGTATTCTCCAAAGCAGCAGAAAGTACAGATGGGAATACGAATGCTGTCACAGCCTGTGTTTTGGGACGATATTATTATGCCTTACCAGCAAGGTCAGTTTTGTGTCTAGGGTTCATTTGCCCAATCTCTGTGTCTGTGTTTCCCTCTTAAAAGTGCCTCCCTTTCCAACTCGGTTGTGGTGTTCAAGTTTAATAGGACAAGTAGCCTGATGCGCAAGAGAGGCTCGGCCTGAGACCGAGGGGTTGGAGATCACACAACCGAATACATTTGTGATTGAAAACAGGTGGCAAACGAAGGTACCCCTCTAAGAACAGAGCAAGCCTTGCTCCTGCTGTAATGTAAAGAGAAGAGAGAAGGAAGCTCAGTGCGGTGTAGAGCTGGTGATGCCAGCTGCAGGGCTGTTGTGGCAACCTCTGGTGCCGCACCGTGGTGGAGAATGGGTGTACGTGTCGGAGCTGGGTGGGTGAACGGCAGCCAGCCAGGAGCATGGGCTGCTTGCCCACACTGCGGGGCCTGGCTGCGGTGGTTTGATTTGCAGGTCCCTTTGCAAGGCCCCAGCTTTGTGAGCTTTTGCCTGGTTCGGCCAGAAATCATCTGGGTACTTTGGATCCTGTGTTGCAAGATGGGAGCGAAAGACCTAAGCCTCTCCTCATGTGGTTCTTTGTTCTGTACTGAAGGTATAGCAGTGCCACTTGTTGTCATGTGTGCCCCAGGAGAACATCTTCGTTGTTTATGACTGTGGGCCAGCTTAGTGCTGGGATATTTGGTAACACAAACTTACAGCCCAGTTGCAGGTGTTACTGTGTTAAGGCCGTTCATCCCTCTGTGACTACCACTACCAACTTCTCAGCTTTACTAGCTTTCCTAAGCTAGTCTACCAAAATTACCTATTTGCTTAAAAAATTCTATACAAAAATAATAAAAAAAGTTTAGCTTAAGATATATCTTGTTGGTACAGACCTGGGATCAGTTATAACTGTAAAAGCAGTTATACAAGCAAACCTCAGGAGATGCTGACCTTAAGCATGAGTTAAGAGTGAGCCTTTAGCAGTGACTGGGAGTGGGGACTTGTGAACAGTCAGCCAAACTAGGCATGGGATAAGCTCCCAGTCGCCTGGAAGTAGTGAACTTCGTTACCAAAAAATACTTATTAATGCCATGAAGTTTCAATTATTACAGGTATTTCCAAAATCTGGCTTACTATAATAAAGGTAAAAGGAATTTAAATAGAATGAATCAAAAGGAGTAATTCACGTTCAGTGGGCTTCAAAGTGAACAGCACAGACTGAAGACTCAAGAAGCAATTATACATTGCTGAGTAAATAGCATGAAGGTTCTTGTTATATGGTCTTGATTGGAGAAATATTGATTCTTTTAGATTAGTTCTGGTAATTAGACCAGTCTGCTTGTTTGTTTATTTTAAATTAAGCTAGCCTGCTTTGCTAGACTCATTGTCTATAAATGTGTTCTATATTAACACATTGCATTGAACTGCAGGCAGTCTTTAATATCCTTGAATATCTGATTTTTTTTTGCAGATGAGCTATGGGTTATTCTGGCAGATAAAAATTAATCATAAGAGTATAAGTGCTGCTTCTAAAACCATTACTCTGCCTGACTGAGGAGCTTTTGAACAGCAGTGCCAAGCTAGCAGCAGTGACATCCAGCATTCGAGTGTGGCACACAGGCTCTTTTGAATATGAGGCTTTGCTA